CCCCTGCTCTCTTGTCCCCTTCCCCTGCCATTTTCCTGTAGGGTAAGATGATTTCCATATCCAATTAAGGGTGTATGTTATTCCCTCCTTAAGCCAAATTCTGTGAGAATAAGATTCACTCACTCCCTCTCACCTTCCCCCACTTCCCCTCCACTGTAAAAACCTTTTCTTATCTATTTTATGTAAGATAATTTACCCCATTCTACTTCTCCCTTTTTCCTTCTCCCAGTATAATCCTTTCTCATCCTTTAAGTTTATTCTCCAGATATCACCCCTTCATCTTCAACTCACCCTGTGCCCTCTATCTATCTATTTATCTATATATATGCATAAAAATTTTTCCCTCCAACTACCCTGTAACTGACAAAGGTCTCATGAGTTACAAATATTATCTTCCATGCAAGTACACATAAACAGTTCAACCTTAATAAATCTCTTAGGATTTCTCTTCCTTTACCTCTTCATGTTTCTCTCGAGTCTTGTATTTGAAAGTCAAATTTTCTATTCAGCTCTGGTCTTTTCCTCAAGAATGCTTGAAAGTCCTCTATTTCACTGAATATCCATTTTTTCTCCCTGAAGGATTATACTCAGTTCGCTTAGGTGATTCTTGGCTGTAATCCTATCCCTTTGCCCTCCAGAATATTAGATTCCATGCTCTGTGGTCCCTTAATGTAGAAGATGCTAAATCTTGTGCTATCCTGATTGTGTTTCCACAATACTTGATTGTTTCTTTCTGGCTTGCTTGCAATATTTTCTCCTTGACCTGGGAACTCTGGAATTGGCTACAATATTCCTAGGAGTTTTCCTTTGGGGATCTCTTTCAGGAGGAGATCTGTGGATTCTTTCCATTTCTATTTTGCCCTCTGGTTCTAATATACAAGGGCAGTTTTCCTTGATAATTTCTTGGAAGATGATGTCTAGGCTCTTCTTTTGATCATGGCTTTCAGATAGTCCAATAATTTTTAAATTCTCTCTCCTGGATCTATTTTCCAGGTAAGTTGTTTTTCCAATGAGATATTTCACATTGTTTTCTATTTTTTTATTCCTTTGGATTTGTTTTACAGTGTCTTGATTTCTCATAAAGTTACTAGCTTCCAATTGCTCTATTCCAGTCTTTAAGGAAATTTTTTTCTTTTCTTTTCTTAAAAATTTTATTAATTTATTGATTTATCAATAATCACTTCCATATGCTTTTGAATTGAAAATTTTTCTCCGCCTTCCTCCCCCCACCCTCCCTAAGATGGCGCACAATCTGATATAGGCTATACATTTACATTCCTATGAAACACATTTTCACATTAGTGAAGCTGTAAGTAAAAATTAACACCAGTAGAAGGAACCATCAGAAAGATGAAACAAAACTGAACAGAAGGTAAAAATAAGTGATAGAGATTGGACTTCCATAGTTCTTTCTTTGGATGTGGACAGCATTTTCCATCCCGAGGCCTCTGGAGATGTCTTAGATCCTTTTAATGCTGAGAAGGATTCAGTTTAACAATATTAGTCATCGCATAACATGGCTGGTATTGTGTACAAAGTCCTCTTCATTCTGCTCACTTCACTCAGCATCAGACTATATAAATCTTGCCAGGTTTTTCTGAAGTCAGCCTGCTCATCATTTCTTATAGCGCAATAGTATTCCATTACATTCATATACCACAACTTGCTCAGCCATTCCCCAATTGATGGGCATCCTCTCAGTTTCCAATTCTTTGACACCACAAAAAGAGCTGCTATGGATATTTTTGTACATGTGGGTCCCTTTCCCATTTGTTTGATCTCTTTGGGATATAGCCCTAGAAGTACTATTGCTGGATCAAAAGGTATGCACATTTTTGTAGCCCTTTGGACATAGTTCCAGATTGTTCTCCAAAATGGCTGGATCAAGGAAATATTTTCGTCAGTGAGCTTTTGGACTTCCTTTTCCATTTGGCCAATTTTGCTTTTGAAGGCATTCTTCTCCTCATTGGCTTTTTGGACCTCTTTTGCTATTTGGGTTAGGCTATTTTTTAAGGTGTTATTTTCTTCAGTATTTTTTGTGTGTCCTTTAGCAAGCTATTGACTTGTTTTTCATGATTTTCTTGCATCACTCTCATTTCTCTTCCCAGTTTTTCCTCTACTTCTCTTACTTGTTTCTCAAAATCCTTTTGGAGCTTTTCCATGGCCTGGGACTGATTCATATTTTTCTTCAAGGCTTTGGATGTAGGAGCTTTGACTTTGTTGTCTTCTGGTTGTATGTTTTGATCTTTTTTGTTACCAAAGAAAGATTCTATGGTCTGACTTTTTTTTTTGCAAGGTTTGATCATGATCCCAGCCAATTACTTGAGTTTTAAACTCTTTGTTAAGGTAGGGGTCTGCTTCCAGTATGGAGAATGTACTATCCCAAGCTTTGGGGGTTTTATGCAGCTGTTTTCAGAGATACTTCTAGGGACCTGTAAATTTTCAGTTCTTCCAAGGTGGTATGATAAGGGGTGAGGTGTTTGCTCCTTTCCTGGCCTGTGCTCTGGTCTGTGAGTGACCACAAGCACTCTTTTCTGCCTTGGAACTGGGAGGAGGATTTTCTCTTCACCTCCCCTACCAGGTCCACCATGCCAGCACTCCTCCTTGCCTCAGGACCACCACTGGAAACTGTGACCTAGATCAAAACACAAGCAAAGCAAGAGATTCCTGCCTCAGCACTGGCAAAGAGATCCCTGCAATCCCACTCTGATCAGCCACTCAATTCCCCCTCAGTCTGTGGACTGGAAGCTTCAGAGGCAGCCGCTGCCACAGGGCTGCGCTTGGGGACTTGGGGCTGGGACCAAGCTTCTCTCTGTCCACCACCATCGCAGACCTTTCCCACTGACCTTCTAAGTTGTCTTTGGCATTCATGGGTTGAGAAGTCTGGAAATTGCCACAGATGCCTGAACTTCAGTCCTCTGAGGCCTGCTCCAGGTTCACTGAGGCCTATTTTGCCACCATGCCCACGCCAAACTGCACTCCTTTCCCCGCCCAGTGAGATATATCTTTCTGATCAACCATCTAGGCTGACTTGGGCTGGAAATTTGTTTCATCCTGCTTTTTGTGGGTTCTGCTGCTTTAGAATATGTTTAGAGCCATTTTTATAGGTATTCAGAGGGGTTTGGGGGAGAGCTCAAGCAAGTCGCTGCTTTCACTCCGCCATCTTGACTCTGCCCCCTCTCTCCCCTGCTTTTTGACATGATGTTTTCAGCAATGTTGTCAGAAGCCTTCAATCAGGAAAAACCAGTGTGAAGGTCAGCTACCACACCGATGGTAAATTATTTAATTTGAAAATGCTACAAGCCAAGACTAAAGTGGAGGGAGAGTTGGTACACGATTTTTTGTTTGTTTGTTTGCAGATGATTGTGTACTCAATGCAACCTCTGAAGCTGAGATGCAACAAAGTATGGATTTATTCTCTGCTGCTTGTGCTCATTTTGGCCTAACAATTTAACACCAAGAAAACACAGGTTCTTCACCAGCCAGCACCACATCATCCATATGTGGAACCATCAGTTACAGCAAATGGAGAAATTTTGAATACTGTGGATAAATTCACTTATCTTGTCAGTTTACTTTCTAGGGATGTACATATAGATGATGAGGTTGATATACACATGGCCAGAGGTAGTTCAGTGTTTGGGAGGCTCCAAAGGGAAGTGTGGGAAAGAAGAGATATTAGACTCCTTACCATACTGAAAGTCTACAGAGCTGTTGTGCTGACCTCATTGTTGTATGCCTGTAAAACCTGGACAGTCTACCAGTGCCACGTTAGGAAACTAAATCACTTCCATTTGAATTGTTGTAGGAAGATTCTGCAGATCACCTGGAAGGATCACCTGGCAGGATAAGTACCAGACACTGAGGCCCTTTCTCTAGCTAAACTGCCAAGCATTCAAACTCTACTTCAGAGAACACAACTTAGAGGGGCTAGCCACTTTATTTGAACCCCAAATGTATGTTGCCTAAAGAACTATTTTATGGAGAACTTATGCAATGCAGACACTCACATGGTGGTCAAAAGAAGAGATAGAGGGACACTGTCAAGGTTTCTCTGAAGAACTTTGGAATTGATTGTGTGACATGGGAGACACTTTACTCCAAATGATCATATGAACTATTTCTGCCTGACCTGTGGTAGGGCGCTCTAGCTTGTATTGGTCTGATCAATCACAATTGGACACATTGTATCTTGACTCCAACATAGTGATGTCATTTTGGTCCTCTTTGGAAATGAAGGACAACAGCCAGCTAATCATGTTGTTATATTCTTTCCTTTATTTGGGACTCAGGGTCATTCTCCTGCAAATTTTGGTTAGCTAAAAGTTAGACCTCTTCTGTTAACATTAACATTACCTGATAAAACCTGACTCTTGAAATAAGGGAAGATTGTTTGACATTCCTCAGTTAGAAGCCAAATGATTTATATCTCCATATACATATGCATAATTCACAGAAGAGAGAACTGGAATAGTGGTTACTTTTAATATAAATAATTATTCATAATATTTTTAGCTAGCTCATAGCCATAGTTACCTATAATAATGACTATTATTCTTGATTTCTCATGACTTTTGGAACATAGTCCCACCATTCATAGCTCAAGATGATAGTCAAGTGTCTCAACAATCTTTTTATTATTTATTAGCGGTACAAAGGTTAAACTCAGTCCTCTTATGCCTTTATCTCTGTCTTCTCAATTTCTTCCTAATTAACAGTTTTTCCAGAACAACTCAACTCCCTCTCTCTTCATAGACTACTCAGGAATATATATTAAGTTGTCACTGTTCAAAATTCTAAAGTTTTGTATTAGCAGTAACAATGTAAGTAATAGTAATGACAGGTTCTGGCTATTGAAACTGAAATTACACTGGGGACTGTGCCAGTGATAATTAACCACTAATCCAGAATTGTTAAGGGGGGAAATGCAAAAGTCCCCACACTTCAGTGCTGATTCTGCTATAGTTTTAACTGTTTGGGAACATTAACTTGCCTTATAGGTTGTACGAGATCAGATATCCCACTGCACAGTGAAATTGCGGCAGACTACTGGTCTCATGGAGTACTGCCTGGAGGTTATCAAGGAAAATGATCCCAGTGGCTTTTTGCAGGTGAGTGTGGACTTCTTTGGTTTTTAGATTCTAAATGTCCCATGGGACTGGGTCTAAGAATCCAAGTCCCATTCAATCTAATCCAAGAAATACATAGCATAAACCACCTTCACACTATCCCATTTTGTGATTTTCTTGCAATGAAATTACCCAACTACCAGAAAATCATTGCCAGATGCTATAATTTGTAAAGAATGTTATATGGGGTAATACTTGCTGAGTGTCATTGAAAAGAGAAGAAAAAAACACCTCCTAAGCCCATCATACAGTCTTTGGGAATCATAGCATTTCAGAAATTGTAGAGACTTTAGAGGCCATCTAGTCTAACTTTTTCATTTTAGACATGAGGAAACAGAAGTAACAATATAAGAATTGAGTTGCAGCCTACAAGAAGAGGTGGATTTCTTTTTAGAAGAATTGGGATCTTTTATATCAATCAATGCATCTAGCTATAATGGTTTTATCAGCGGAAAAAATCTAAATAACTATACATTAATTCACTTTCTCAGTGCCAACTTTCTGGCCAATCAGTAGATACTTGGTAGTTTGAGAAGTAATAATAGGAAAACAATTGAAAAGATAATGTAATGGAAATATAAAATAGTGTTGGGAATAAGTAAATAGGCTTCAAGTCCCAGCTTTAGAAGGCACTAGCTGTGTGACCCTTGGGAAGTCATTTAACTCCTGTTTCCTATTTAGAGGTAGCTAGGTGGCACAGTGGAAAAAGCACTGAGCTAGAAATCAGGAATATTTGAGCTCAAATACAGCCTCAGACATTTACTAGTTTTGTGACTGGGCAAAACACTTGACCTCTGTTTGTCTTAGTTTCCTCAATTGTCAAATGGGAACAGTAATAGCAACTATACTCCCAAGTTTAATGTGATCAAAGGAGGTGATATTTGTAAAGTTCTTAGTACAGTGCCTGGTACATAGTAGGCATTATATAAACACTTGTTACTTTCTTTCTATGCTTTATTTTCTTTGCTTATAAAAAGATAAGAACTAATATTTGTGATATCTACTCCTGATCAAGGTCTTTGTGAAAAAAATGCCTATATAAAGAAGTTGTAATTATTAACAATTCACATTTATATAGTGCTATTGCATTCTCCAAAACCTCTCACTTGATCCGTCAACAAACATTTATTACTATGTGCTAGCATTGTGTTAGACAATGGAGATAACAGAGGTAAAAGTGAAATAGTTTCTTCCCTCAAGGAGCTTACTTTCAGATGGAGGAGACATGATGTACATATAGAGGGCATACAAGATCCATACCAAGTAAACGCAAAGTAATCTTGGAAAGGCACTAGCATCTGAGGGGATTTGGAAATATTTACTATAGGAAGTTGAGCTTGAGATGAGTTTTGAAAGAAACTAGCTGTACCTATGTACAGTTATGGTGGACAGCTAATGTCATGTGTGGAAAAGAACATGTGCAAATATATAAGAAAATATTACATATGTGTGTTTGTGTGTGTATATATACACTCACAGTAAATACAAGGTAACTGACTACAACACTAGCTATTTGGGGATCAGTAAAGCCTCAAGGTAGCATTTGAGTTGAGCTTTGAAGGAATCTTGAGAGTTAGAAGTGGAAGTAAGGACGAAGTGCAATAGAGGAATAGGAATGCACAGTAATACACAAGTGCATAAGGGAAGTACCTAAGAGAAGAACATAGAATTATGAGAGGTCTGAAGGGGAAGATCATTGCTGAATATCTCTCAGTTTGTGTCTCTCTGTGCCCAAAAAGGTGGCTTCAAATCGAAGTGCTTTTTTTTGCTTTTTTTTTTTTGGTGAGGCAGTTGGAGTTAAATGATTTGCCCAGAGTCACACAGCTAGTTAGTATTATGTGTCTGAGCCTGGATTTGAACTCAGGTCCTCCTGACTCCAGGGCCAGTGTTCTATCTACGGTGCCACCTAGCTACCCCTGTCTAAGTGCTTCTACAGAAGCATGGCAGAAGAAGAATAGGACTTCTCTCTCCTCAACGTCTTTTATTCTCTCAGAGGAAGTCTTCTGATTATTGGAAATTCTTCCAAACTTTTCAAAATTGTTTCTTCTTCGATCACAATAATCTCAAAAGATATTATTATTACTGTTTTTAGATGAGTGAAATGAGGCTGAGGGAAATAAAGTGACTCCCTTGGTCACATGACTATTAGGTATCAGAGTTGAGTCTTGAAGCACTAAATTTATTGTTCTTCCCGCTAGGACAATGAGACTCATACCTTGATAATTTATTGTTCCCTACTTGAATATCCTTTTTTTTTCTTTTAGTCAAGGCCAGATTTTAATGAAATATTATAATTTTAAAATTGATTGCACTTAAAGGGCCAGAGTCCTTTGGTTGCTAAGTATGTCATTTTCAAATAAAAATACTAAAATAAGAAACAGAGGAACAATAGAAAGTAAATGAATATGATATATAAGAAAAAGGAAAGCTCCACAATGAATACGTAAAAGAGAAAGCATCTAGTAAGCTCTCACTGTGCTATAAGAACCAGGCTAAGTTCTATGGATGCAAATACAAAAGCAGACACAATGTCTTCAGTGGTTAACAAGGTATCTACCACATAGTAAGCATTTAATGATTGCTTATTGAATAAGTCCTTACCTTCATTATTCAAAAAAGATACTACATATGTAGTATGTGTGTGCACATATATATACTCATATATATGTATATATAAACACACATATGTACATATATATGTGCGCACATATGTAACACTCATATATATGTATATATGTACACGTACATATATACATATATGTGTGAGTATTGGTCAGGGAAGATTATTTTGATTTAGAAAGGTACAGGGATGATGAGTGAAATGAGGTTAAGGTATAAGCACAGGTACAAGAAATGTACAGTGAATGAGTAGATGATGATGATGATATTGATTTGAATCATGGACCTATGACATGGCAAGGAATGTATATGTGCATGACAGCAAGGCTTTTTGGTAATAAGATAGCCAGAAAGAGAAATGAAGCATGGATAAAGCCAGGTCTAGATGTACTGGGTGATGGGAGGCAAATACCAATCAGGACAATGGGGGCCCAGGGCCAGATTCCAAGGAAATAAGTCTTCTAGTGCTTGGTTTCTGGTCTATTAAATGATTATCACTGTGCAGACTTTGTTTGTAAGATGCTAGAAACTGTATTTTGCTGAATGCAATACATTCAGTATCTCTTGTCATTTTCTGATACCCCTCATTTTATTATTCTAAAGAGAGGGCAATTTCATTTCTTAATATAAAATGGAGACAAACTAGTCAATCACATAGGGTGGGTTACATCACCTCTTACAGTGGTACTGGTTCCATTAAGACAGTAAGATCAGAAAGAACTGTGTAATTTAGCAAATGGTGCTTTAGCATATATACCATTTATATCAATAAAATTAGTTTGCACCAACCTTGCCTATCATTAAATGTAAATTTAGCTCTAAATATAGGGACATTTAGAAATGTGTCAAGAAAAGTTTGGGGTTGGGTAAAGACCATTTCACCAACTTCAGTTTTTTCAAGGTAAGGATATAACTCATTTTGGAAACTACTAAATTTCCCAGTGTGGCATGTAACCTCTCACATAATCTTTAATATGATTAGATTTCTGATGCACTCATTAGAAGAGTGCACATGACTGAGGACCAATGGGGAAAAGGGACTCTTACGCCAAGGATGACAACAGACTTTGATCTGAATCTAGACAACACACCTCTGCTGCAGTCCATCCACCAACTTGACTTTGTACAAATGAAACGTAAGTATTTATATCCAAATAAGTCAAAAAGTGTGTTACGTGGGTATTGTTGCTTATAAAATTATGTTGAGGTCCAGAACCCCAAATACAAGTAATTGCTGGAAATATAAACATGCAGGTTAACTTAACAGGCTACTTCATGTCCAGCCTTCTAAGAAGGTTTGCATAGCATCTGATTTTGTCATGTAATGAAGTTTTGCAGTTTTATATGTTTAATCTGGCTATCTGGTACTCAGATAGCTAACATATGTGATATTTTTCTCCTCATCTCTAAAATGGTCTTTGGATTATATTCTTGATGGCTGATAGCACATTGCAACACAGTATTGCAAAACAGGAAACCTCTATAACCCAACCGCCTATTTTTTGCAGATAAGACTAAAATGAACCCAGGGATAAAGTGTCAGTGCTGCACATTCATTAATGGAGAGAGATTTAGAAAATTGTCTTTGAGCGTGCAACATGGATGTTTCAGAGAAATGTAGCTCTAGGCTATGTTTGGCAAGGCATTTAAACAGCTTCTTTGAAAAATAAAAGGAAAAACATAGCTTAAATACAAGGTAAATTGACTTATAATAAACTTTGGGGGGAGGAGATATTTGAGATAAGCCAGTGATTTCTAAACTTTATTATGACATATTGCTTTTCTATCCCCTCCTCCCAAATGTCACTCACCTCCACCTGTTTTTCACAGAACAATCAACATAGAACATTTTCCTAGGTCATACTTTATTTGAGTAAGAGAAAACCATGTTTTGCAGTAATGTAGAAATAGTCTGGACTATGCACCAATATTGTCTTACAGTTTTGTAAAGAACCTTATTTTTTGGACTATGGCAAGATATATCTAGAACGGTTTCTTCAAGTGTGGTCCACAGACCTTTGAAGGGTCCCTTAGACCTTTTTCAAGGGTCTATGAGGATAAGAATATTTTCAAAATAATACCATAAATTTACTTGGCTATTAAAAAGCTCTTCCTTTTTTTCAACTACATATCTATGTGAGAGCATATTTTCTTCATATACTTCAACCAGGACAACATATTATTATAGATTGTATTTAGGAGCAGTATGAGAATCCAGATGTCTTCTATTAAACCAGACATTAAAGAGCTATGCAAAGATATGTGAAACAATGTCATTCTCAATTTTTTTTTTGTTTTGGAAACTATATACAGTTATCTTTCATAAATAAATTATTTATATTAACATGTAATAAATTTATTATCATCATTTTAAGAAATTAATAATTGTTTTATAATTTTATTGGTTTTAATTTCTAATATAGCAAATATCACTGAACACGGAACACTCTCACCATTCTGAGTCAACTTGCTGTTGCTCCCTAGTTTATTTTTAAATTGTGGCATATTCAATTGTTTGCTGATGTGTTTGCACTTTAGTTAAAAATGAAAATGTACTTTGACAATTAAAAAAGTCAAGATTACACTCATTTGTATTTAGCTTCCTCTCCAGTGCCAGCAGCCCCTCTTCTACAGTTGGAGGATTGTTGCACACACAACAACAGTGCTACATTGTCATGGAAACAGCCACCTTTGTCAGCAGTGATGGCAGAAGGATACATTCTGGAACTGGATGATGGAAATGGTGGTCAATTCAGAGTGAGTAGAGACTCTACTTTGTTTATTCGGTTTTCTAATTGTATATTATAAATGAGGGCAGCCGTAAGTTTTGAAAGTTATAAGTTTTGAAAATAATTGGGCAATTATTGGGCAATATGGATTGGTTCTAAGAGTACTGGTCCTAGAATCAAAAGACCTGGATTTGAGATCATGGAGCATTGCTCTAAAATATAGCCCTAGGCAAGTCATTTTACTTCTCTGAACATTTAGCCCTTCATCAATAAATGAGCATTATAATAATTTCATTATATTCTTAAAAGGTTGTCAAAAGGCAAATAATTGGTAAACCTTACAATATATTAAAGTATCAATTTCTATTTTCATATTTTATGTACTAATCAAGGCTAAAGCCCAATGATCACTACTATTCTAGTGAAGAGTTTGATGGATTATTTAGATTATGCATTGCCCCCTCTCATTTTCTCTGCTTCTCTACATCCTGTTTAAGTTTGAAATTATCATTCTTGTCCTGCCCTTAAATTCTTTCCAACTTCCTGTTTTCTATCAATTATTATTACATTTAGAGTCATAAACTCTAAAGTATCTTCAAGTCCTTCTTCTCCCTAGGCCTGTATATCCAGTTACCAAGTGCTATCATTTCTCTTACACAATTTCCCTTGGATCCTTTATAATCTCATGAAAAATAACTGTAATATTTTCCTAATCTGGTCTCCATGTATCTAATCTTCTATAGCCTATTTCATATACCACACTCTTTTGCTAGATTAATATTTTTAAAATAGAAATTTCATCATACCACTTTTATACTTTAAAACTTTCAGTATTTTCCCATCATCTACAGATTCTGTAGAACTCCTATATTATAAAATAAAATTAACATTTAGCAAGCATTCGCTTTATGTCAGGTACTATGCTAAGTACTAGAGGCATAAACAAGAACAAGAAAGACAGTAACTGCCCTCAAGGAACATATTACAATCTAAGCTTAAGGGGAAGACAACAGACAAAAGAAAGCTGAAGAGGCCGGTGCTACAGCATATCCTGTGAGGGTAGAAAAAGTGAAAAGCATGATGAAAATGATGGTTGAATCAAAACCAGGCAGATAAATGAAGAGATGGCTGGGATTTTGAGTTCTTTATAAATAGAGACTATGGGAGGGGGTTTTACCATTTCCCCCAGCCTTCTAATAAGAGAGACAGAAACAACTCAGGGCACTGATTAGATGTAAGAAGCAAAGCTAAAGCAATGTCCATGTTGATGAGTTTCCCCTAGTGAAGAACTTATTCTGAGTGGGGAGTGATGAAAATGATGGTAGAGTCAAAACCAAGTAGAGCAGCGAGTGGCAAATGAAGAGATAACTGAGATTTTGAGCCCCCTATAAAAGAACATTATAAAATATATTTTTTTAAATTCCTGCCTCTGAGTCTTCTGCTTTACTGAGGCAGCTAGGTGGCATAGAGATAGAAAAGAGTAGGATAGAGCACTGGGCCTGGAGTCAGGAAGACCTGGGTTCAAATATATTCTCAGATGCATACTAGCTTTGTGATCCTAGGCAAGTGATTCTATTTGCCTTCACTTCCTCAACTGTAAAATTGGGAGCATAACAGTATGTACCTCCCAGCACTGTTTTGAGGATCTAATGAATTAATATCTATAAAAGCACTTAGTACAGCACATAGTAGATGCTTAAGAAGTGCTCATTCTCTCCCCCACCCCTTCCTTATCAAACTGACCTATTCACTGTTCCCATATATGTTTTGTTTCTTCCCATATCCATGCATTTGTTCATACTTTATCCCCACCTGGAACACTGCTTCTCATTATTTGTTCTAGTTAAGATTTAGACTCCACCTCTCCCAGATCACAATTCTGAACTCTTGTCAACTTGGCTCTATCCTGGAGAGCCTGGCCTCCAGAAGGAGAGTTGGGCTCTTATATGCTTCTGGCTCATTACATTCTCATCTCACCCCACAGTAGAACTCTAAGGACAATTACTTAAACCAAACTTAAGTTTTGGCTTACATCTAGGGTCTCCCCAAAAGAGAAAAAAAACCAGGATCCCCTCTAGAAAGGTACCAAATATAATAGGTAGATCACTTACAGGTGAAATAAGACAGTTATTAATTGCATTAACCATCAAATATTTCAAGAGGTAGACTGGTACAATGGAAAACCTAAATTGCTTCTTAGGTCCCCTTCAGCTCTTAATCTATACTCATATAATCTTTGATAGGGGTTTGTATCCAAGATATACAGGGAACTAACAAAAACATATAATAACAAGACCCATTCCCCAATGAATAAGTATTCAAAGGTTATAAACAGTTATCAAAAGAAAAATTGCAATCTATTAACTAATTTAGAAAAAAATGCTCCAAAGCACTAATAATAAGAGCTTTCATGTCACTCTCAACAAATTGGCAAAGATAATAAAAATGAGAATAGTTAATGTTAGAAGGGTTGTAGAAAGATAATGTACACTGTTACTGGACCTGTGAATCAACCCAAACTTTCTAGAAAACAATCTTGAATTATGCTTTAAAAAAAGATTAAAATATTCTTTGACCCAGAGATACTGCTGGTAGGCATATATTCTAAAAAAGTTGGAGGTATAAAGAAAGGTGCTATATATGCCAAAATATGTGTAGTAAGAGTTTTGTAATAGGAAAGAACTACAAAAAATAGTTGAAAATGATTGATGAATTACTTAAAAATTTATAGTAAATGAATATAACAAAATATTACTTTACTATAAAAAAGAAGAATCACAAATATTGAGAAGTAGAAAGGACCTCAGTGGTCATCTAATGCAACCCAACACAAAAAGAATCCTACCAATAACATACCTGACAAGTAATCATCTAGTTTCTGATTGAACCTCTAAGTAGGGATCACCCTACACCACTCTAGGCAGCCCACTTGACTTTGCGATATCTCTAATTGTTAAGAAGTTTTTCCTAACATCAAACCTAAATTTGCATCTTAGCAACTTCCACTCATTGCTATTGATTCTACCCTCAACACAAGTCAAATAAAACAAGCCTAGGCCCTCCTTCTCATAAGATTGTTCAAATAATTGTGTTTCTCTTGGAATCTCCCCTACTCCAGGCTAAGCACACCCATGGACTCAAGTCACTTCATCATCTGGGCAATCTCCAGAATAATAAGTTGTGGTGTCCTTTTAAAAACTAAACCATAGTGTCCCTAACTGAACACAAAACTCCAAATGAGATCTGACAAGGACAAAGTACAGTGGAATTGTCACTTTCCTATTCTTGGAAGTTATGCTTCTCTGTGCCTAAGATTGCATTTACTTTTTTGGCTGCCATATCAAATTGTTGGCTCATATTGAGCTTACAGTGAATGAAAAATACCCGATCTTTGGTATCCAAGTGCAAGATTTTATATTTATCCTTATTTACTTGAATTTCACTAGATTTAGCCCAACACTCTAGACTGCCAAGATCTTTTTTTATATCCAGATTTTAAGATTCACTGTTTCTATTCTTCACAGCTTTGCATTATCTTAAAAAATGATGAGCTTTCATGCCATTTAGGATTGTATCCAAATCATTGATAAAAATATTAAACTGAATAAGGCCAATCACAGATACCCGGGGTACTCTACCAGAAACCTGACTCACTGGTATTGTACAGTTTAACAACTAATCTTCACGTATAGCTAACATAAGATATTTATCAAATCCTTTTCTAAAATCTAGATAAAGTGTTTCTACAGCACTTCCTTCATCTGCTCACTCATTTAGTACATGCATAAAAAAGGAAATGTTAATCTGGCAAGGGGATTGTTCTTGATGAAGGCTATAAGAGCTGCTTCCCTTTCTATATATTCTCTTGCCATCTCTTTAATGATCTGTTTTATAATTTTTCCAGGAATTAAAGTCAAGCTCCCCAACTTAGTGTTTTCAAATTCTGTTCTTTCCTTTTTTGAAAAGTGGAACAATGTTTGCTTTTCTGCAATCTTGTTATATCTCTCCCATTTTCCAAAATCTCTCTAATATCACTGAGAGTGGCTGAGCCATCCCAAATTTCCAAGTCATTTTTGACTGAAAGATAAAGCTCTTCTTAGCCATGTGACTAATAGGCAATTAGATGGGGTTTTCCCTTACTTTGTTATCCACTTTCCCTTAGTCATATTCTCACTATCATTTCAAGTATAAATGTCATTCTTCTTTGTAGAGAAACAAAAGTAAAATTGAACATGTCTACCTTCTCCCTATTTGTAATCAATCTGAGCAATCATCTCTTCTCCTTTCCCCCTCAATATAGTTTAAAAATAACATTGCTTTTCTGACCTTCCCTTAAGAGCTTCAGGCCATTCTAAGCTTTATTATTTCTTCACACTATTTTTACAGGACTATACCACCCTCATAGTCATCCTGTGTTACTGGATCTTACAAGCATATTCTATAAATTTTCTGTTTAAAATCTAAATTTGTTGTTAAATTCTCTATGCATTCATATTGCTTTATTTAAACAAATTTCATTTTATTCCTTATTAGAATTGTTTTACTTTGCATCTTCAGAACTCCATTCTTGTGCATCTTTCTTGTGCCTTGAGCAGATTTCCCTGAAAGCATTTTAGTCCATGATATCTTTCCTCTCTCTCCTGATTTCCCTAAATGTAGGATATATGACGGACTATGCTAGGGCTGTTCCTTCACCTATCACAAACTTTAGGATAGAGTGGTCATTTCTCCCAAGATTCCCATAATTCCCATCTCAGCAACCCTTTTACTAAGAATTTGATCAAGAATAGAATTTCTTCTTGTTGATTCTTCCATCTTTTGGTGGTTGGAATTATCACTAAATTATGTCAAGAAATTTTTGCTGCTCTATGCCAAATAGAGAGGAGTCTAGCTGATATCTGGATAATTGATGACCCCTGTCTCTAGTACCTTTGGGTCAGGCTTCAGATCTGTTTCCCAATCTCCCTTTCTATTTCCTCTTTCTGGGTTTGGGATATTTCAACCCTAACAAGCTATTTTAAAAAATGTAATGTAAGATGTGAGGGGAGGAATTGCTCAGCTTCTGTAGTGTGCACAGCACACTAAAGTGTCTCACTTTATGCCCATTCTTCCCAAGGACACTGGGAAACCAAGATGTTGTTGTTGGGATGTTTTTGTGGCAACTGTATTTATTGTTACACCTTAGTAAATGTCTTTGATGTGAACTAATTGTATCTATTGGCTGATAATGGAAATCATACTAGTGGGAGTTCCTGAGACATAGACACAAGAGTTTAAACTTATGGGGTATTTTAGAATAATAGAAGCACTTGTGCTCTGGGAACTCATGTTATGACTATGAATACCAAGCTGAAAGAGTACCCCAGAGGGGATGCTAAGTGACATACTAAGATTTGATGGACATAAAATCTAACAAGAATTACAAACCAGAAGCAATATATGAAATTCATTATAAATTGTAGAAGTGTTATAAAATGGATTAGGAAACAACATAACAATTCATTGCTTATGAGAAACATTCAAAGGCACCAAAAAATTTAAACGGATCGCTGTGATTTATCATACATTGCTCTAATGATAAAAGCAGAAATTGTGACCATAATTTGGAGTAAGGTAATGTAATAAATAACATCAAGAGAGAAAAAAAGGCAAATTAGATTCTCTTTATGTGGAATTAGTTGTCAAGTCTGACTGATGCTTTCTCAATAACATCTCTTGTATCTGTCTTCTGATCTCTACTCACAAAGCTTCTGTAACAGCTCAGGCTCTGATTACTTCTTGCCTGGACTATTGTAATAGTCATGTATGGGATATTTAAGAGGACTAGCACCTTGAGGGCTTGCTGAGCCCTTTTCAAGGCTGCTCATCCACCATTGGTGTCAACCTGGCACACAACTCTCACCAGTGGCTCCAAGAAACTGTAGCATGTGCAGTGGCTACAACCTTGGTAAAACTGTCTTGGCAGGTGGGCTAAATCAGGAGGAGGGTGACCATCAGGCCTCAAACCCTGTCAATGAGTTAAGGGATGTCTACCCCCAAGTATATGAAGATTTCCCTGGCAAAATGGGTGCATAAGAACAACTTGTTCCATTGGCCATGGAGGAGGCTAAAACAGGTACTGTGGAGCACTTAGAGTTTGGTCAGATTAATAAAATGCCAAAGTCATCTCCTGGGCCATTTTGACTTTTGTCCTGCCACTGCACTTAAATGACTCTAAAAGAGAATAAGGCAGATGACTTTGTGCCACTCTGACTTACTTAAATCCAGTTCATGCACTCATCAGAACATCATCCCATAATGGCATTGGTTCTTTTCAAAAATGAGAGATAAACAATAGCTTCACAATTGGTCTTAGTGGCTTCAGTCTCTCTCTTTCTTCTTCTAAGCTCCAAAGTGATTTTCCTATAATACAGACCTAGCCACCTCGCTCTTCCTATTGGAAAAAAAAATCATTAGCTCCTTATTGCCTCTAGGATAAAATAATACAAATCCCTTAAGTAGTCTTATTTTATAAGACCCTTAAAATACTCTCTGTTCCAGTCAAATTGGATTACTGGTTATTTTCCTATATACAATATTTCAACTTGAGCTCATAATATAATAGATTTAGAACTAGAAGGAACCTCAGTTATCATCTAGTTCAACTTGTACCCCCTCTCCCATTTTAACGATGAGGAAAATGAGGCACATTAAAGTTAAATGATTTGGTCAATGTCACACAAGTATTATCAGAGGTGGGATTTGAACCAATGTTCTCTGACTCTAGAGGTGGTGGTCTTTCCTACCATACTGCCCTTACATAATCAGACTCATGTCTAGAATGTGTTTCTGCTTTACTTCTTCCTCATAGAATCCCTCACCCCCTCAAAGCACATTTTAAGTGAGATTTTTTTTCGAATGCTCCCAGTCATTAGTGCTCTCTCCATCTTGAAACTGCTTTATATTATTTTTCATTTTCTTTGAACTTATTTACGTTGCATAACTCTCCTCCTACCCCAATCTCTGCCCCCTCCCCCAATAAACTCCTTAGGAGAAGAGATCTTTTCATTTTGACTTTGTAGTCCCAGAGCCTAGCACTTAATACACACTTAGTAAATGTTGGTTGAGTTGAATTGATGGTAAAGTAGATAATCAAAAGCATCACTATTAAATATAAGTATATCAAATAGCATAGTAATTCTATCAAAATCCGTAATTCCCTTTTGTTTGGTCAGATTCCTTTTTCAGAACTTGATTAAATAAAAGGGAATTGTAGATTTTAATAGAATATTGGGGAAACAATTCAATAGAAATATGGTGATTGTTAATTAGGAATCTTAGAGAATATACCTATATTTTATAATCATAGAGCACCTTTACAAATATTTTCATGTTCTAGGGTATATAGGACTCATAGATAAATGCAGAAAGATAGAAATATTAAACATATCATTCAGAGATCGAATACAAGAAAATTATAATTAAAAACATGAAAAAAAAAGATTCAAACCCCAAAGGATATCAAATAATCATATCCTAAACAAATGAACGTGTGTCATATAAACACTGAAAATTATGTTAAAGAGAATGACAACATTGGGACAATATGCCTAGTTTTGCTAGAAGTAGCTAGAACTTTCTTTGGTAGTTTTTCTCCTGGAAATAGTTCACAAGATTAGCCCTAAATTTAGAATTTGCCAGTTCCTGCTTGTTGAAATTTATATACTATAACTGTGGTTTTTCCCTGATTTTTGGACTATATAGGATGTAATTATTCATTTTTGGTCACTCAACAACATTTATGCTTAGTGCTTACTATAACTGAGAACTATGCTAAGCATTGGGGAAGATAACAAAGTTTATTAAATATTCCCTTCCTTCATGCAGTTTATAGTCTTCAAGGGGATAAGGTAAAAAGCTCCTGACAATAAATCAGAGTATTACATGATAAATTATTCAGAGAAGTGAAAAACAGTATTTTAAGATATCTGAAAGGGTAAGTTGTAACTAATAACCAGCACAGATCACTGGAAGGTTTATAAAGTAGGTTATGTGAGTTGTTGTTTTTTTAATTAATGAATTTATTTATTTTTAGTTTTCAACATTCACTTTGATAAGATTTTGAGTTCCAAATTTTCCCTCTCCATCTCCAAGACAGCATGTAATTTGATATAGACTATACATGCGCAATCATATTAAACATATTTCCATATCAGTCATGTTGTGAAAGAAGAATCAGAACGAAAGGGAAGAAACATGAGAAAGAAAAAAGAGAGAAAGAAAATAGTATGCTTCGATCTGCATTCGACTCTGTAGTTCTTTTTCTGGATGCAGATAGCTTTTTCCATCGTGAGTCTTTTGGAATTGTCTTAGATCATTACATTGCTGAGAAGAGCTAAGTTTATCAAAGTTGGTCTTTGCACAGCATTGCTGTTACTGTGTACAATGTTCTCTTGCTTCTGCTGGGTTGGATTTCAAAGGACGAATAGTCTTTCAGCAGTGGGGAGTTGTGGTTAAGAGGAAGGGAGTACAGCCCAAACATAGTGAAGTGTGCATAAAGATTCAGAGGTGGGAAAATACAAGATTTATTCTGAGGATAGTGAGTTATTCAATTTGGCTAGACAAAAGAAAGCATGATGGGAAAGAGAACTCTGGGCAAGGCAAAGTTTTCAAAAAGTAACATACTTTATGTGGAAGATATGTTCTGGACCAGTGGATTTCTACAAACATCCAACCGCATGTTGAAAATATCTTTACCTTTAACACAGTTTAATTGTTTTGGCAAATGTCTTCCTATTCTATTCTGTCAGAAGTCATTACTATTCTTTGATGACGTGCTGAGCTCTCTGTCATTACTGTATCAGTTAAGAATATCTTTTAGAAGACATTGAGCCCTAGTTCTTGACATCTTATTAAATATCATTCATAGCAATTATATTTGTGTAATGCAAGCCTTCCCTTCCTATTGAAAAAGTACCACATCCTTAATATGCAAGAGATACAGCATTAATCTAAAGAGATGTTACAAAACTTTCAAATAAAATAATAGTAGTCTTACTCTGCCATCATAAATCTCATTTAAACACCTCAAAACTCTTATGCTAAAAATGTAGGTATTAAAATGTGATGTTTCCTTTTTTTTAAATCAGGAGGTGTATGTTGGAAAAGAAACAATGTGCACAGTGGATGGTCTTCACTTCAACAGCACATACAGTGCTCGAGTCAAGGCCTTTAACAAAACAGGCGTCAGCCAATACAGCAAGACCTTGGTCCTTCAGACATCTGAGGGTAAGGCACTTCAGCAGTACCCTCAGAACAAGAACTGTATAGCATCTAAAATAACTGGCAAAGCCCCCAACCAAACACTACCATTGCCCACATTACTAACGGGTTTTTTTAGCTTAACATATATATGTATGGGTATATTTATATATATATACACACACACACACACACACACACACACACATATTTTGTCACAAAGTTGTTACTTTTCTCCTACTTTGAATAAATATATGAAATTAAAATGTGAACGCCTGCTGCCCAAAGTTTGCATTTAAACAATTCTGATCAGTTTTAAAAGTTAAATATAGAGATAGAAAGAGAGAGAGAGATGATAGATATAGGGATAGATATTTTCAGCAAACTCTAGATTAATACTCTAAAGAAATGGTTTCTCAAATGTGGTCATTAGGCTTTGGAACAAGCTCCCATTCCCGAAAGATAAACACTATTTCTCAATTTTGTTCAGATGTTTTAAAATATCTTTGTAGCTCCTGCTATTTCCTTAATGCAGCCCACAAAATATTTTCAATAATGTTATGGGGTTGGGGGCTTTTTTTGTTTTTTGTTGTTGCTGTTATTGTTGTTGTTGTTGTTGTTTGCTTGTTTTTGCTCAATGGACTCTAGGTAAAAGCATGCTTTGTTTGAACATGGCATTCAGGAAGAGTTTATATTCTGTGTAGCAGCACTGGAATGCTCCACTTTCTCATGCAAAGCTAATCACATCCACATGGGGAATACAATTACTTGGATGTACCACATAGAAAGAGAAGAGTAAGGCTGTATTACTTCACCATCTCCATCTTTGTCTACCCATTCGATTTAAGGCTATCTAGCACTATTCTAAATCTAGGAAACGTTCTCTTCTTTCTTGTATAGTTCACACCACACATTGTAGCAAGTTCAGAAAACAACCTTGAACCTGATGGCCAGTCCTAATATCTTAAGTGTTTTGTTATATATTTTATGTTAAAAGCATGTGATGAACCTCATGTGAAGGTTTAGAGACTGCCATCAGCGTCAAAGCATTTTTTTGGGAATCATCCAAATGAAGAAGTTTTACCCTATAGATCACTTTAGCCTTCATGTCTCCCTTTTTTATATTTTCCAGAGCATTTTTTCTCAATTTTATTTTGTAATGTATGGTACTGGAACACTGAGAAGTATGTTTGTAAGAATAACCCATAATGTGTTTTAAAGATGCTTATTTAGTAGGGGAGAACTGCAAATATCATGTAAATTGTGTTGATGTTTAGAAACACTTTGGGCCACATTTTCATAAATTCTACATGGGTAAAGTTGCCATTTTGGAAACATAGCTTTCTCTCTTAGCAGAGTTATTAATTTTAGAGTAAATGCTTTTATTCTTAAAGAGACATATTAATGTTTTGTCTGACTCTTTACAATTCTGAAAGAGGTTATTCTAACTGCCCTTTGAAAGAATCTCAAAACAGCTGCCTTAATTTCTATGTCTTTAAACCAACTGAATAGTGATGAGTAAAAAGACAAATGATGGAAAGAATTTACAATGAGGCTGCTATTACATACTATTAGAATCCTTGGAAAATTATTTCTATTCATTATAAAATATGGCCCAAAAGTCCACCAGAAATATAAAAACTTTATTAATATGGCAGATGGAACACTTCAGATTCCCTTTTCAGAATACAATATCACAAAGCAGATATTAAATTTATTTTAGTAATAATTATAATGTGTCTAATTCTGTATATTTCAATACTAAAATTATGTACCATAGTAACAGATAGAGGGCTGCTTTCTATGAGATATCTAATGAAGTGAAGGAACTGTAAAGTAAAATAAATGTCCTGAATTTTAAACTTGCACGATTTCTATAAATATAGAAATACAAAGAAAATCCTATAATCATATAGCTATTGCTCCACATAAATCATATTTCCTATAATAAAATAAAATTCACATGTATACTTTCATGAGAATCTTGGTCTGTTCTGTGTCTTTTTCCCTTTTCCTCTCCCCATAGTAACACTCACAGTAAGGTAAGTTATAATTTTAAAAACCATTTTTTAAAATAAAACTTCATAAAAATTCCAGTTGAATTTTTCAAAATTCTACTACAATTAGGTTTGGGGAAGATAGCATGAGTCCTTGACACGTGGAGCTTGTAGTTTTACTGAGGGGAAAGAAATAAATATAGATAACTATAACATATAATATTACATAAGAGGTACAATATAGAGGTTCAATGCCAAATGCTATGTGAAGTACATGTCATTAATAATGGAGAAAAGGTGTCAGAGAAGACTCCATGGAATAGATAGCAATTAATTTGAGCTTTAAGAAGTAGGTAGCAAGTAATGATAACAAACAGAATTTATAAAGGCACCCAAGCAAAAAGTACAAGGATTGTTTAGGGGGCAGAGAGCTAGTCAAGTTTGGGCATGGCATGCAGTGCATGAAGGGGAATGATATGAGATATGACTGGAAAGGCAAGACAGGAGGAGGTTACATTATATTGTAAAGGATCTTGAATCTCAAGAAAAGGAATTTAAGTTTACTTGGAGAACCACTTAAGATATTTATAAGAGGAATGATATGGCTGTATCTATTGCATGTATGAGGATGTGTAGAAAGAATAATGAATGGATAGAAGCTAGGAGAGATTTGGAAGTGGGAAACCAATTAGTTTATTGCAATAAATTGTAATTGCAATAGGACTTTTACAATAATACAGGTGAACCTTAATGAAGGGCTTTAAGCAGTAAGACCAAGGAGTAGTAAGACTACTACTAGGGAAGTGAGACTTAGGGGAAAAGGATGGCTTTGAGTCATATTGTCAACGTGGAATTGAGAATACTTGGTAAATAATTAGATGAAAGACTTGATAAAATAAATTGCTATAAAAGCCAACAAAGTTGTTATCCACTGTGCCACCTAGCTGCCCCCCGGGGTACATTTAAAGATAAAAAGTGAGACAATTTTTGTTCTCACAGATTTTGTATCATACAGGTCCAAAAGCTTTTGTGCAATTTTAAGTATTAAAAATTTTTTTTAATTGCACTAAGACTTTTGGGATATGCTGTATAGGAGGAAACATTTGTATATAAGTATACACAGAATAAATTTAAAAACTAGCAATTTTATATGATTTAAGGTTTGCAAAGTGCTTTACATATGTCATTTCATTGTATCCTCATATAAACCCTGGTCAGTGCTATGACCCCCACAGTGCCCAAGGCAGTGTTCAAACAAAGGTTTTCTTGTGTCCAATTCTGGAATTCAATTCACTGTGCCATCTAGCTGCCCTAACAACAAAGTAGTCAAGGAGGGAGGGCATTAGTATTTGGGGAAATCCAGAAAGGTTTCATGTAGGAAGTGGTTCTGGAGCTAAGTCTTCAAGAAAGGAAAAGATTCTATATGGATTAGTTTAAAGAGGGAATGCATTCCAGGCACAGGAAATGGCCAGTAAAATGGCGCAGAGACAAGAGATCAAGACCTTTGTGTGAGAAACTGAGAGAAGACTCTTTTGGCTGGCTCATACTAGGTGGGATAGGGAGAAATATATAATCATGCCATAAAGATAGATTGGGTCCAGGTCGTGAAAGACGTTAAAAGTCAAATAGAGAGGTTTAAATTTTATACTAAGAACAATGGGGAGCCACAGAAATTTACTAAAGATCTATATAAAAGATGGGTTGGAATGGGGTGAAATAAGGCAGAGAGATTAAATGCAATATTTCAATAACAACTGTGTAGGGTCTAAGAGATATCATTGTGGTAGAAATAACAAGATTTGAGCCTGAATATTTGGTTTGAAAGAGAAATTGAGTATAACGCAGAAGTTACAAACCTTGAAGACTATAACAATTCTGGCATCCTTGGTAGAAACAAGGAAATTCAAAGGAAAGATTAAGTGTAAAAGATAATGAATTCTGTTTTGAATGTGTTGAGTTTGAGATGTTTCCAGGACATACAGTTAGAAATGTACAATAGATCATGTGGGGAAAGAGCTCAAAGGAGAAAATAGGGGTGGATATTTAGATGTGTGAGTTATAGGTACAAATACGATCATTAAACCTATGAGAGTTGATGAGGTCATTAAGAGAAAGCATAAAAAGTAAAAAGAGCCCATGAGGGAGTCTTGGGGTAAATCCACAGTTAGAGGGCATGATACGGATGATGAGACTCCAAAGTAGACTAAGCATTAATCCTGCTGTAATAGGAGAACCAAGAGGAAGTAGACTAATGTTGACTGGACCTATGATTTCATTGATAGAGGGAACTTCTGGTTCAGAAAATTGACTCTACCAGTACAAATTGCCAACTTCTCTGCAACTTATACTTCTAGATAGTTGCCTAAAACACTGAAAGGTTAAGTGACTTGCCTAGGATGATACAATCTGTATGTTTCAGAGGCATAAATTAGATCTGGGGCTCTCTGAACCCAATGTTAGCTCTTTATCCATCATATCACCCTGTTAGGAGAGAGTAGCATCACGAAAACCCAAAAAGGAGAGAATACCTAGGAGAGTGAGGTCAACAATCAAATGTAGAAAATAGGTCATAAAGTATGATAACTGAGGAGAAAAAACAACTGATTGGTCAATTAAGGCACCATTGATAGACAGAGGGAACAATTCATTTTAGTAATAAGGTCAGAAGCTATATTATAAAAGTTGAGGGGAGAGTAAGAAGAGAGGAAGTAGAAGCAATAAGTGTAAATAATTTTTTCTAAGAGTTTGGCTGAAAAAGGAAGGAATGATATATGATAATGGTTTGAGGGGATGGTGGTATCTAATAAAAGGATCAGTTTTTGCTTTGGTTTGTTCCATTTTATTGTTTGTTTATATTTTTTAGGATGTGGGAGACATGGGCATATCTGAAGCCAATAAGATAGTAACTATTAGACAGGGAAATATTGATGATTGAGGATTAAATTTACTGGAGAAGACAGGAGGGGATGGAAGCAAGGTTGAACATAAAGAAGTTGGCTACTTCCTTATCAGAGACTAGAGCAGCATGGG